TACAGATCAACTCGAAAGGCGGTCGCAAAGTTGAGGGGCAGCAGCACTGGTCGGGCAGCGCAGGCAGTCGCAACGTTAAGCAACAGCTGTTCTCTGCACGGCTCGGCACGGCGGTAGTTCTCTGAAGTTGAGGAGGAGGAGCAGCAGCAGCAGCTGGCACGGTAGTTCTCCTTCCTGTCGTGGTAGTTGTCCAAAAAGAGCGAAAAAGGAGATCTCCCAGCTCTGTAAAGCCGAGATGAACAGCGACAACCAAAAGAAAAATCGTGAGTATACAGCTGCTGCTGCTCCTCCTCAACTTCAGAGAACTACCGCCGCGCCGAGCCGTGCAAAGAACAGCTGTTGCTCAACTTTGCGACTGCCTGCGCTGCCCGACCAGTGCTGCTGCCCCTCAACTTTGCGACCGCCTTTCGCTCTGATCTGTATGCTGGTCAACTAGCTCTCGCTCATCAATCCCGCAGCACTTGAACTTCAATCTCATGCCCGAGACGGCTTGAGCTTGAGCCAAATTTGGAAAAAATAAGGACTAGTGCCGGGCAACCAAAACCGCTTAAACTTCAAGGTTTTCTCGAGTTCCGAAGCCCGAGGCTCTGGCTGGCCACACCGGGCATATCATCTCTGCAGCTGTTCTCGCTGCCACATTTTTGCGTTAAGTAGCTGGGGACGGTTCTTAGATCTATTGTAGGGTGTAACAAATACGGGATGTATAGGGGCACCTCTAGCTACTCTATTTCGGCCAGCGGCTCTGGTCTTGGGGCTAGACCTCAACCTAGCATAATTACTATGGGTTTAGGCTTCCGGTATTTGCTAGGGCATGTATATATAATCCCTTCCCCCTAATATTAAAGCCCGCCCCCCATATAAAATCAACTCGCCGCCAGGATTTTGCGATTTCGGGCCCAGAATGGAAAGTTAATGTTTTAATAGAGCCAAAGATTACAGCTGTACTACTCAAACCGAAGAAACCAGAGCTTTATGAGGTTTGAGGGTTTAGGGCTCAAGACTTTATAGAGCTTAGAGCTTTAGGGATTTGGGGCTTTGGGGTTTGGGGCTTTAGGGTTTAAAGCGGGACTGTTGGCTCTACAGCCGGAACGGCTGCGTGATGGGCGGTCTTTGTCTGGCTCATTGCTACTCTCAATCCGACTCATACGTGGATGCCCCGAAACCCCCCTAACATTAAATTAGAATCCCGGAAATCAAATTTTATATTAGGGGGAGGGGGGGGGTTAATATTAGGGGGAAAGGATTATAAATTTGTATATGCTCTACGGTGCCAGTGCGCAGCTTCTACCATCTATTTAGGCAGACAGTGCAGAACCAATAGCCTAAGGCTGCTATACCACCTGTATAGGCTTGTGTACTAGTACCGTATAAAATGTAAAAGGCCAAGCTGACTCGTGAGAAAGCACGTTCTGGAAAGGTTTAGTTTTTGACAAACTTTGCAAACTTCCCCTCAAGAACCGTGTGGTGGATTTTGTTCAACACGCGTGTGTTGGCATCATGAGCATACGGAGCATCATTGCATCGGGGCGTCGTGAGCATATGGAGCATCATTGCATCGCCCCCTCCGACCCAAAGATGCGCGAGGTAGCTGTCAGAGATGTGGAAATCGGCCCCGAATGCGACGAAATTGCCTTATTTCTGGATTTTCATATCGACGTTCGAAAGCCATCGCAAACCACAAAACAGGGTATCATGTCATCTACCGAGCACTTTCAATGACTTGATTCTCGGCGAGACGCGGCATCCCTTCAAACCTGATCCCAGCAGTCCATCTGGGCTTGATCGGTATATACAGATCTTGCTGGCAACGTCGAAAAGACGTGGTATGACGTGCTCGTTCTCGTCAGGCAGCCGGGGAGTTCAGCACAGTGTTCCGATCCTCCCCCGACCGCTATCGTACCGAAACGAACATGATGAAGAGCATTGGCCACAAGTGCAGCCTGTTCTCAATAAACCTGCAGACGTCAATCCACGTGCGCCCCAACCCTTACCGGAGCAACTTTCACCGCTCGTCTGAATTGGCATCCACGGTCAGGGATGCTTCGTCGTTCCCGAATTTGGGCAGCACAGCACCGGTACGCGGGTCGTGCTTGGATTTTTTTGTTGTCATCAGAAGCCCTCGGATACGAATCGGAAGCAGACATGTATACATGAATGTATATGCAAACGTGAATGTAAACGTATATGTGTATGTGTGTACATGTGTATACATGTCTGAGTCTATGTGTGTATGTGTGTCTGCATGTGTCTGCATGTGGCTGTATGTGTATGTATGTGTATGTGTGTATATATATATTATATTATATTATATTATATTATATTATATTATATTATATTATATTATATTATATTATATTATATTATATTATATTATATTATATTATATTATATTATATTATATTATATTATATTATATTATATTATATTATATTATATTATATTATATTATATTATATTATATGTGTGTGTATGCGTGTATATGTGTATGTATATGTGTACGTGTATGTGAATGTATATGTTTATGTGCATGTTTATGTGTATATGTCTATGCATGTGTACATGTACATGTATATGTATATGTATATATTTCTATATGTTAAGTTGCGTGTACATGCTGTTATGCATATGTGTATGCGAGAATGTATATACATGTTGAGGTATATGTAAGTTGTATGTGTGTATGCATGTGCATATGTGGATGTATGTGTATAAGCGTATGTGTTTATATGTAATTTCGTGTGTGTATATATATATATATATATAAGTAAACATATGTTTATACCGGTACATATGTACAAATGTGTACATTGTGTACATGTATGCGTGTGTGTGTGTATATACATACATATATATATGTATATATATATATATATATATATATATATACGTATGTATGTCCGTATGTATGTACATATGTACTCATGTATGTCTGTACTTATGAAGTTGGTCATATGTGTATACACACATTTAAAATATGTATGTGTGCATGTATGTATTTATGCATTTATGTGCATATGTACATATGCATTTTCTCACACATGCGTTTATGTATATACGTAAATATGTTCACATGTACATATCTATACATGTACATGCGGATGATATATATATAT